TTGCCAAGCCAGCAAGGGCGTGGAAGGGTTGCGAGCATCATTGGTCATTGGCCCTTGAGAATGAAGAGCGCCTGCTACACTTCCTGAACATGTTCGGATCCTAGCGCGTTTTGAGGCTAGAAGTGCTCGCAGTGAGCGTTTTTCTTCTACCAGGTCACGTGGCTGCGCTTGTCTAGGCCTCTTGCCAAGCCAGCAAGGGCGTGGAAGGGTTGCGAGCATCATTGGTCATCGGCACATGAGGTTGAAGAGCGCCCGCTGCACTTCCTCCACATGTGCGGATCCTAGCGCGTTTTGAGGCTAGAAGCGTTCGCAGTGAGCGTTTTTCTTCTACCAGGTCATGTGGCTGCGCTTGTCTAGGCCTCTTGCCAAGCCAGCAAGGGCGTGGAAGGGTTGCGAGCATCATTGGTCATCGGCCCTTGAGAATGAAGAGCGCCCGCTGCACTTCCTGCACATGTGCGGATCCTAACGCGTTTTGAGGCTAGAAGCGTTCGTTGTGAGCGTTTTTCTTCTACCAGGTCACGTGACTGCGCTTGTCTAGGCCTCTTGCCAAGCCAGCAAGGGCATGGAAGGGTTGCGAGCATCATTGGTCATCGGCCCTTGAGAATGAAGAGCGCCCGCTGCACTTCCTGCACATATGCGGATCCTAGCGCGTTTTGAGGCTAGAAGTGCTCGCAGTGAGCGTTTTTCTTCTACCAGGTCACGTGGCTGTGCTTGTCTAGGCCTCTTGCCAAGCCAGCAAGGGCATGGAAGGGTTGCGAGCATCATTGGTCATCGGCCCTTGAGAATGAAGAGCGCCCGCTGCACTTCCTGCACATATGCGGATCCTAGCGCGTTTTGAGGCTAGAAGCGCTCGCAGTGAGCGTTTTTCTTCTACCACGTCACGTGACTGCGCTTTTCAAGGCCTCTTGCCAAGCCAGCAAGGGCGTGGAAGGGTTGCGAGCATCATTGGTCATCGGTCCTTGAGAATGAAGAGCGCCCGCTGCACTTCCTGCACATGTGCGGATCCTAGCGCATTTTGAGGCTAGAAGCGCTCGCAGTGAGCGTTTTTCTTCTACCAGGTCACGTGGCTGCGCTTGTCTAGGCCTCTTGCCAAGCCAGTAAGGGCGTGGAAGGGTTGCGAGCATCATTGGTCATCGGCCCTTGAGATTGAAGAGCGCCCGCTGCACTTCCTGCACATGTGCGGATCCTAACGCGTTTTGAGGCTAGAAGCGCTCGCAGTGAGCGTTTTTCTTCCACCAGGTCACGTGGCTGCGCTTGTCTAGGCCTCTTGCCAAGCCAGTAAGGGCGTGGAAGGGTTGCGAGCATCATTGGTCATCGGCCCTTGAGAATGAAGAGCGCCCGCTGCACTTCCTGCACATGTGCGGATCCTAACGCGTTTTGAGGCTAGAAGCGCTCGCAGTGAGCGTTTTTCTTCCACCAGGTCACGTGGCTGTGCTTGTCTAGGCCTCTTGCCAAGCCAGCAAGGGCGTGGAAGGGTTGCGAGCATCATTGGTCATCAGCCCTTGAGAATGAAGAGCGCCCGCTGCACTTCCTCCACATGTGCGGATCCTAACGCGTTTTGAGGCTAGAAGCGCTCGCAGTGAGCGTTTTTCTTCCACCAAGTCACATGGCTGCGCTTGTCTAGGCCTCTTGCCAAGCTAGCAAGGGCTTGGAAGGGTTGCGAGCATCATTGGTCATCGGCCCTTGAGAATGAAGAGCGCCCGCTGCACTTCCTCCACATGTGCGGATCCTAACGCGTTTTGAGGCTAGAAGCGCTCGCAGTGAGCGTTTTTCTTCCACCAAGTCACATGGCTGCGCTTGTCTAGGCCTCTTGCCAAGCCAGCAAGGGCGTGGAAGGGTTGTGAGCATCATTGGTCATCGGCCCTTGAGAATGAAAAGCGCCCGCTGCACTTCCTCCACATGTGCGGATCCTAGCGCGTTTTGAGGCTAGAAGCGCTCGCAGTGAGCGTTTTTCTTCCACCAGGTCACGTGGCTGCGCTTGTCTAGGCCTCTTGCTAAGCCAGCAAGGGCGTGGAAGGGTTGCGAGCATCATTGGTCATCGGCCCTTGAGAATGAAGAGCGCCCGCTGGACTTCCCCCACATGTGCGGATCCTAGTGCGTTTTGAGGCTAGAAGCGCTCGTAGTGAGCGTTTTTCTTCTACCAGGTCACGTGGCTGCGCTTGTCTAGGCCTCTTGCCAAGCCAGCAAGGGCGTGGAAGGGTTGCGAGCATCATTGGTCATCGGCCCTTGAGAATGAAGAGCGCCCGCTGCACTTCCTGCACATATGCGGATCCTAGCGCGTTTTGAGGCTAGAAGCGCTCGCAGTGAGCGTTTTTCTTCTACCAGGTCACGTGACTGCGCTTGTCTAGGCCTCTTGCCAAGCCAGCAAGGGCGTGGAAAGGTTGCGAGCATCATTGGTCATCGGCCCTTAAGAATGAAGAGCGTCCGCTGCACTTCCTCCACATGTGCGGATCCTAGCGCGTTTTGAGGCTAGAAGCGCTCGCAGTGAGCGTTTTTCTTCTACCAGGTCACGTGGTTGCGCTTGTCTAGGCCTCTTGCTAAGCCAGCAAGGGCGTGGAAGGGTTGCGAGCATCATTGGTCATCGGCCCTTGAGAATGAAGAGCGCCCGCTGCACTTCCTGCACATGTGCGGATCCTAGCGCGTTTTGAGGCTAGAAGTGCTCGCAGTGAGCGTTTTCCTTCCACCGGGTCACGTTGCAACGCTTGTCTGGGCCTATTGCCAAGCCAGCAAGGGCGTGGAAGTGTTGCGAGCATCATTGGTCATCGGCCATTGAGAATGAAGAGCGTCCGCTGCACTTCCTGCACATGTGCGGATCCTAGCGCGTTTTTGAGGGTAGAAGCGCTCGGAATGAGCGTTTTTCTTCCACCGGGTCACGTGGCTGCGCTTTTCTGGGCCTATTGCCAAGCCAACAAGGGCGTGGAAGGGTTGCGAGCATCCTTGGTCATCGGCCCTTGAGAATGAAGAGCGCCCGTTGCACTTCCTGCACATGTGCGGATCCTAGCGCGTTTTGAGGCTAGAAGCGCTCGCAATGAGCGTTTTGCTTCCACCGGGTCGAGTGGCTGCGCTTGTCTGGCCCTAGTACCAAGCCAGCAAGGGCGTGGGAGGGTTGTGACTATTATCGGTCATCGGCGCTTGCGAATGAAGAGCGCCCGCTGCACTTCCTGCACATGTGCGGGTCCTTCCGCGACCGTTCACCAAGGTGTTTGCCTTTTTTTGCATGTCGTCTGGGTCTATTTTCCAGGAATGATCTGTTGGACAACAGCCAGTGAGTAACGCCAGGGAATATTCACTCCATACCTCAAGCAGTTAGTCCGTAAAGAGGGATGATGCCCTCTCTATGCATCTAGTAACCAATCCTCCCCATAGTGGAAGCGATTTCTCATCAGCCAATTCCAGGTGTTGTGCAATAATTACTCCATGCCCAACCCAGACAGTTTTTTTTAAACAAGCTATTAAATAAGAGAAAATGTGCAATTTTGTATAAGATGCAAATGCTAGAAAGTTGTTTCCCACTCTTCAGTCTTATGAGATGATGTTGAGGAATTAAGCTGTAAATTACTTCCTGCCTTTGTACATGAGGTTGCTAGTGGGTGCAATCGTGTTCACCGAAACCCATCTTGGTTCAATCGAGGAGTCGGGCCTTCTTCGGCCATTTTCAGGTGCATGCAGCTTAGTCGAGGCGCGTTATTCAGGTGCATGCCAGGTTGCGTACACTTTTCTCATGTTAAACAATTTCTCCCGTAAATGAATGCGTAGTTCAAGATTCGATAAAAATTGACACAAAAGGTCTGAAATAGATGGAATTTCGGAATACGCAAATCGGAATCGGGATGATTGGCTTTCGATGCTGCATTTTCTGACGTAACTCAGTGCAATGATTGCATTTCTGCCCAGTTTCTACGCAATTTTTTGCTTCGCACCAAATCTTTTTGAACGGATTGTAATGCTAAATCGTTTGTACTGTTGGCGCAGGTGGCGGACGCTTCGCGGGTCAAATCAGCAAACTCTAGTGGGACGTGCATTGCTTGAAAAGGGTAGTCCGAAACACGATAAATATGCCCGAGTGTTAAGAGTGAGCTACTCCTAAGGATATATCGTATGTTACATGTATATTTAATGCCACGTAATTAAGGCCGTTGAATACCACCTATTTCAATATGCACGTACGGCAAACTTAGTTTGGTAGAGGCAAAATATACAAACACTCACGAAGGGTTTGCTGATTTGCCATGCGCAGCGTCCGTCATCTGCGTCAAAAGTACAACAGATCTAGCATTAGATTCGTTCGAAATGAGTTGGTGCAAAGCAGAAATTTGCGTATAAATTGGACAAAATGCAATCATTGCACTGAGTTACGTCAGAAAATGCAGCATCGAGAGCCAACCATTCCGATTCCAATTTGCGTAGCCCGAAATTGCATCTATTTCAGACCTTTTGTGCCAATTTTAATCGAATCTTGAACTGCGTGTTAATTTACGAGAGACATTTTTTAACCTGAGAAAAGTGTAAGCAACCTGGCATGCACCTGAATAACGCGCCTCGACTAAGCTGCATGCACCTGAAAATGGCCGGGCCTTCTTTGATTGATCAACCTCGCAAAAGCTTGTTCGCGTGGTGCAGCGAATTTCTGCCGCGTGGCACTTCGAGAGGATCCCCCATTCGCGCGACCACTCCCCCCTCCCCCCACAACTTCAGCTTTCCACCCTTGCTTCCGTTCTGACCACACTCCCCGTTTTCCTTCTGCGCTCGGATCCGCCTCTTTCATCCTTTCCGCGAGTTCCCTCCTTCCCACCTGTTCCCCGCCCCTCCGCCTATTTCCGCCCACAGTCTCCCGCACGCAACACTGCAGCGCATCCTGCTTCCCGCACTACTGTACTCGAATCTCTGATGTTGAAATTGAATTCTGGCAGCCATTTTAGAACGCCATGCTGAAGCTCGCAATTTCAAGCTCCAAGTTACTCGCACACTCACGTCCGCCACGAGCTAAGGTCGGACTGCTTATGGCCCTTTCCCTCTCCATGCCTCTGTGCTCCTCTAGCGCACTTTCAGCGCGCAACACTTCTCCTAGCCTTCTGCGAGCTGAGCTCTCAGCCAAGGCCGACAATCGGACGATTGGGATCTGCTTGCTCCCGACTCCCTCTCCTCTCTGCTTGAACCGCCTTGTAGCAAAGCCGAATCCTCTGTCCGCTATCAATCCGGGACGCAGGCCGCGCTTCGTGTCCGGAATCTCGTCTGCAAGGGCAAGGCCATCAGTGGCCATGGCTGCTGCAGCGGCAACCACGGAGGCCTCAGCGGACGTTAAAGAGAACCCGCTTCTGTCGCTGAATCCCGCGTCGATTCCGCTGTTCGACAAGATCGAGCCCAAGCACGTGGTGCCGGGCATGCGCGCCATTCTCAAGGAAGTGGTACGTAGCGAGACAGAGCCACGCATTGTGTCAGGAAATTAATGCATGAGCACTTATTTTGTTCAGAGATAAAACTGAAGCACATAATGTCGCGTAAAGTCAAGCATCTGCTCATTTGAATTTCAAGTGTCTGAGCACCCAATGTCCAAGGAATCTAGAGTCTGAACAACCAAGCTCAAACGAATTTACAGTCTGAGCGCCTAAGGTCTTAGGTATCTAATGTCCGAGCACTCAGTTTCGCAGTAGTGTTGCGCCTGAGCACTCAGATCATGATCTAGATGTTTCACGATTCCAATGTTTGAGCATCCCTTGGGTGCCGTGAACCGATATTGAGTCGACTCAAAAACAGGAATCCCTCATCCTTTACCTGACCGCCACACCCACAGGAGGAGCAGCTGGACGATCTCGAGAAGAACGTGCAGCCCACGTGGGCAGGCCTCGTCGAGCCTCTGGAGCGGCTGCAGGACCGGCTGGGCATCCCGTGGGGCGCGGTGAACCACCTGAACGCCGTGAAGAACTCGGACGACCTGCGCGCGGCGTTCGAGGAGGTGCAGCCCGACGTGGTGAAGCTCTCGCTGCGCCTGGGGCAGAGCCGCCCGCTCTACGACGCCTTCGTCGCGATTAGAGCGGATGAGAAGCTGTGGGAGAGTTTGAGCGTGGCTCAGAAACGCGTCGTTGAGTGTGAGTGGGTGTGTGTGGGCTGGCATATGTGTGTCGCTGTGGGTCGGGTATGTTCACCCATTCTCAACTGCCAACGCGCGTCACCAATCATCCTCTCTTCTCATCCGCTCCTCGGCCTTCCTGCCCTGCAGCCGAGATCATCTCGGCCAAGACCAGTGGAGTGGCGCTCGAGGGCGAGGCCAAGGCGCGGTTCAACGAGATACAGCAGGAGCTGGCGCAGCTGAAGACCAAGTTTCCGAACAACGTGCTCGACGCCACCAATTGAGCACTTCCTGCGCATCATCCACCCCTCCACCCCCTTGCCATCCCCCCGCCATCCCGGCCATACAGCCGAGCTCATATCGGCCAAGACGAGCGGAGTGGCACTGGAGGGCGAGGCCAAGGCGCGGTTCAACGAGATACAGCAGGAGCTGGCGCAGCTGAAGACCAAGTTCCAGAACAACGTGCTCGATGCTACCAAGCGCTTCGTGCGCATTGTCACTGACCCCGCTGACGTGGCAGGCCTGCCGCCCTCCGCGCTGGGCTTGGCCGCACAGGCTGCTGTTGAGAAGGTGCGTGGCTGCCATTGCTGCTGCTGCTGCTGCTGCTGTTGCTGTTCCACGTCTCCCCCATCCGTCTATGCACTTTCACGAGCCTGTAGTCCCCATCACTGCACTTCACATCCCTGCCCGTTCCTGCCCGTTGCTGCTGTTCCTGTTCCACCCCTGCATCGCCTCTCCTGCCCGTCCCCACCATGCACAGGGTCACGAGGGAGCCACGGCAGAGAGCGGGCCGTGGGCCTTCACTCTTGACATGCCCTCGTACCTGCCTCTCATGCAGGTATGCAAATCGTGCCTAGCATAGAGATCTGGAACACCATTGATCATAAGACAGTGTCCCTTCTCTCATGTAGAGTGACTCGCATATGGGTTTCTATCATTTATCACCTGTCCTTTAGTCCTACTTGCCATGCGTGCGTCTCATGGTTCTGTCCCTTGCCTCCCATACAAATCTCCCCTGCAGCACTGCCGCAACCGGGGGTTGAGAGAGGAAGTGTATCGCGCCTATGTAACCCGCGCATCTGAGTTCGACATTGACAACACCCCGGTGATCACACGCATGCTGCAGCTCAAGCAGGAGAAGGCCAAGCTGCTGGGCTTTAAGTCCCACGCTGAGGTGAGGCCGAGACAGTTTGGGTGAGGCAAAGACACGCTTGAATGATGATCACTTGCTTTGACCCAGTTGCAGGTGAGCATGGCCAGGTTGCATGCAGCATTGGAAGTCTTGAATTTGTGCGGTTGAATGTACAGCATCTCGCCAACCACTGTATTCCACTCCCCGTTGCACATTTGCAGGTGCCGATGCAGTGGCACATGGCGACCATAGAGAGCGCGCACAAGCTGGTGGATCTGTCAGTTGATTTCTAACTGCCCCTTTATGCCCCACTGCCTCCTATGCCTCCTGTGCATGAGCAGGTGCCGATGCAGTGGCGCATGGCCACGATAGAGAGCGCGCACAAGCTGGTGGAGGACCTTCGGGATGCTGCCTTCGACATCTCCGTCAAAGGTGAGCTGCGTGCGGGTTGATTTCTCAAGTTCGACTGCGAGTGGAGTCATGGCGTTGTGAGAGGAGCGGTTGAGGCAGGTGCGGCCCCTTGTTTTTCTCTCAACGGCCCCTTTCCCCCCACCCCATTGCAGAGCACGAGGAGCTGAAGGCGTTTGCCAAGGAGCAGGGCGCGGAGGAAGCGGACAACTTGAGGCAGTGGGACGTGACGTTCTGGGGCGAGTGGCTGAGAGGAGGAGGCTTCTGTTGTTCCAATTCTTAACGTCCCCTTGTCACTCTCCCTTTTCCAAACTCCAGAGCACGAGGAGCTGAAGGCGTTTGCCAAGGAGCAGGGCGCGGAGGAGGCGGACGATCTTCGGCAGTGGGATGTGACGTTCTGGGGCGAGCGACTGAGGGAGGCGCGGTATGAGCTGACGCAGGAGGAGCTGCGGCCGTACTTCTCCTTCCCCGTGGTCATTGACGGGCTCTTCAAGCTCGCCTCACGCCTCTTCGACGTGTCCTTCCAACCCGCTGATGGCGAGGCACCGGTAAGACTGAGAGCTGACGCAGGAGGAGCTGCGGCCCTACTTCTCCTTGTCTGTCGATATCGATGGGCTTTCCAAGCTCGCCTCGCACATCTTTGACGTGTCATTGTAAGAACAAGGTTCCTGGGAGGGATTGCTGGCCGGAAGTGGATGAATGTGGTTCTGCGGGCTGTTATGTGTGTGCTGGGCTGTGCAACCACGCACAGTATGAGCCGCACTTTCTGAGTCCACTCAACAGGTGGAACAACTTCTCAATCTGGTCCTATGCTGATCCTATGCTGGTCCTATGCTTGATGGTCCTTTGATGGTCCTATGCTGGTCCTATGCTGGTCCTATGCTGGTCACAAGCTGGTCCCATGCTGGTCAGCGGCTTCACTGAAAGCAACAACCCTTCACGCTGTCGTGACTTGAGCCGAGTTGAAGGCCTTCCCACCCACCCCTTACTCCCCCATGCCCCCTGTCCCGTCCCTCAGTTGTGCTCCTACACACGCTGATAGATATTAGCCTTTGATGGACACCTCTGGTGCCACTTTTTCAACCTTGCACCCCCCTTCCCTTTCCCCTCCCCTCTCTCCCCTTCCAGATATGGAACCCAGACGTGCCACTGTTCCAACACAGTGGCATGCTTCCTGCTCGACCCCTACTCGGCCGCTCTGAGAAGGCTCAAAAGTACCCCTCTTCCATCCTCTCCCCACGCTCCTCCCTTCCAGATATGGAACTCAGACGTGCGTTACTACAAGGTGACCGACTCTTCTGGCAACACCCTCGCCTCGTTCCTGCTGGACCCCTACTCGCGCCCGGCGGAGAAGCGGGGTGGTGCGTGGATGGGGCCCAGCTGCAACCGCAGCACCCTCTTTGTCGCCCCTGGCGCCACTGTTGCAACCTGTAGCTCTAAGACTCAAAAGTCTTCTCTCCACCCTTCCCCCCCATGTAGATATGGAATCCTGATGTGCGTTACTACAAAGTCACCGACTCTTCCGGCAACGCCCTCGCCTCGTTCCTGCTGGACCCCTACTCGCGCCCGGCGGAGAAGCGTGGCGGTGCGTGGATGGGGCCCAGCTGCAACCGCAGCGCCCTCTTTGTCGCCCCTGGCGCCACTGTTGCAACCTGTAGCTCTAAGACTCAAAAGTCTTCTCTCCACCCTTCCCCCCCATGTAGATATGGAATCCTGATGTGCGTTACTACAAAGTCACCGACTCTTCCGGCAACACCCTCGCCTCGTTCCTGCTGGACCCCTACTCGCGCCCGGCGGAGAAGCGTGGCGGTGCGTGGATGGGGCCCAGCTGCAACCGCAGCGCCCTCTTTGTCGCCCCTGGCGCCACTGTTGCAACCTGTAGCTCTAAGACTCAAAAGTCTTCTCTCCACCCTTCCCCCCCATGTAGATATGGAATCCTGATGTGCGTTACTACAAAGTCACCGACTCTTCCGGCAACACCCTCGCCTCGTTCCTGCTGGACCCCTACTCGCGCCCGGCGGAGAAGCGTGGCGGTGCGTGGATGGACGGCGTGTGCAACCGCAGCGCCCTCTTTGCCGCCCCTGGCGCTGCCGCGCGCCTGCCGGTCTCGCACATTGTGTGCAACCAGACGCCCCCTCTTGGGGATAAGCCCAGCCTCATGACCTTCAATGAGGTATGGATAGGCACAAGTGTAACTGTTCAGACGATCTTAGTGTGGCGTAATGCTTCTGATTGCGAATCTTCTCCTCTGTCTCCTTCGTTCCTCTCCCCCTCCCTCCGGCCCCACCCTGTGTCCCTCGTGTTTAAGGGAAATGTTTCCCACATAACCCGTCTCCTGCTTCTCCACTCCCACTTCCTCCCCCCTCGTGCCCAACTCCGCCTTTTCCCCCTTGTGCGCGGATGGCAGGTGGAGACGCTGTTCCACGAGTTCGGCCATGCGCTGCAGCACATGCTGACGCGGCAGCAGGAGGGGCTGGTGGCGGGCATCAGCAACGTGGAGTGGGACGCCGTCGAGCTGCCCTCTCAGTTCATGGAGAACTGGTGCTACCACAGGTGCGTATGTGCTGCTACCACAGGACTTGTGTGTTGCTACCACAGGTATTGTTTGTACTTGTGGTTCAAGGCACGGCCCAACTGGTGCGTGTGCTTCTGTTTCGTTTTGGCGCTCTCCTCCCGTCTGCTGGTCTGCCATCCGTTTCTACCATCTCCCCACATCCATCTGTCTGTTTCTCTCAGACTGCCCTTTGTAACTGCATCGAACGCATCATAGGTCGCCCCTTACAACCCCTCCCTCTCTCAACAACCACCAGAGGCACGCTGCTGGGCATCGCAAAGCACTATGAGACGGGAGAGGTGTTGCCGGAGGAGCTGTACCAGAAGATCGTGGCGGCTAAGAACTTCCGCTCCGCCACCATGACCATGCGCCAGGTCAGTATGCACCACACCACCACCACACACGAACTCCTCGCCCTGTGCACAGCACACCTGATTTCGAGCTTCCCTCTCGTCTGAGTCGGTATGCCTTGTGGATTTTGAATAGTCAACATGCCTTCTCTTGTCATGCTGCTCATTTTGCTGTATTCTCCCTCCTCTCTCTTTCTCCCCCTTCCCCCCACCAGCTGCACTTCGCGTCCGTGGACCTGGAGCTGCACTGCTCGTTCGACCCTGAGGGCCAGGAGTCCATCTAGGATGTGAACAACGCTTCAAGCTGCTTCATTTTTGCTGTTGTGCTGAAATCTCCTCCCTGTTTCCTTCTCTCCTCTCCCCGCCCTCTCCCCCCCACCAGCTGCACTTCGCATCTGTAGACCTGGAGCTGCACTGCTCGTTTGACCCCGAGGGCCAGGAGTCCATCTACGATGTCAACAACCGCGTGGCCTCTCGCATGCTTGTGCTGTCCCCCCTTCCCTCCGACCGCTTCCTCTGCTCCTTCCTCCACATCTTCGGCGGCAGTTACGATGTCGGCTACTACAGCTACAAGGTGAGGCTTATAACGGGTATGCATTACGAGTACGGCTGTCACACCCAGCCTTTGCCCATACTTGGCGGATGCCAAGTCGTAAGCATGGCATCACTGCAGTCGGTTGGGACTGTGTAGCCCTCGCTTGTGCAGAACTAGCCTCATACAGCCACTTGGAAAACGTCAGTACTCTTTTTTTTCACACTTTCCCGCCCTCCACTTCATCTGACCCCTGCGTGCTGTGCATGGCAGTGGGCGGAGGTGCTGTCAGCCGATGCCTTTGCAGCGTTCGAGGAGGCAGGGCTGGATGATGATGAGGTGAGGCACGGGGCAGAGCTGCCTGTGATGTGGAGAGGGGAGTGTGGTAGGGCCTGGGGCATGGTGGAAGGGGCAGGAATGACTATGATAAGAGCACCGTTCCCAGTGTGTTTTCGCCCTCGTGCCCCTCGCTCATGCATGCGCATGCCATCTCACCATGTTCGTCGTGCCCTCGTTCGCATCGCTTGCACATGCATTTCTTGCTCCGCTTTGTTGGTTGGTGTGAGCAGGCGGTGAAGGCAACAGGGCACAAGTTCAGAGATACAGTGCTGGCTCTCGGGGGAGGCGCTTCTGCCAAAGACGTGAGTATTCAGGGTTCTAGTTGTGCCCGTGCAGTGAGCTTCCATATGGCCATGAGATCTACCAGCTGATTCACAGGTGTCCCCCTTTTTTTTGGATGGGAAATTCACATGTATGTCGTTGGATGCTGGGTTGTGCTTTGCAGGTGTTTGCCGAGTTTCGAGGACGGCAACCGTCAATTGAGCCCCTGCTTAGGCACAATGGGTTGGTGCCAGAGCCAGTTCCTGCTTGATGCTCGCTTTCAGTGCATTTTGCTTAGATTGGAAATATGCGCGTACCATACCCATAATTACGACGGCTTGTTAATGTGATAGAGTTCATATGTGTAACTTAGAGCACGAAGAAAATACAGTTACTAAGTCAACCCTTCTTTTGCCTCGAGTTCGTAAACAGCCAAACTTGAGCTGTTATGAGTTGTCAAACAGAGTTGCGCGGAATAACGAATAACGAGGCTGTGACTCAATGAACTGACGATACAATGAAAGACATGCGATTATATAGCGATGCAATCTACTAGGCGGGAACCTCGGGAACACGAGGTTGAGTGCAGGTTGGGCAAAGGAAAGCCGAAGGCGACGCGAGGTTGCTTCGGCAGCAAGCAAAGCGGCCGAACGTGCACTTCCGAAAGTTGGGGTTGTACGCGGTTGAGTAAACCCCAGTAAGGAAAAAGGGTTTTTCCTTACACTACCCCCCCCCTTAAGAAAGGTGGTCAACATCCACAGCTCGCTTGCGGGCGAGGTAATCACCAAGAAGCGGGGAAGCTTCAAGCGAGGCGGATGGCACCCATGTGTCGTCCTCACTGGTGCGGTCAGTCCAACGGATAAGAAAGTCCACGTGGCGTCCCGAAGCGTCGAGCCGAACACGATGCGCCAAAATCTTGGACGGGTCGAGTGTCGGTTCCGGGACAGGTCGAGCTGTCGGGACGGCGTTCTGGCGCGCGATGTCTGTTGTGGCAGGCACGAACTTGCGTAATAAGCTGACGTGGAAGGCGTCGTGAATACGCCAGTCGTCGGGTAGTAGCAGCTTCGCGGTGACAGGTGTCACCATCTTGAGGATCCTGAAAGGCCCACAGAATCGTGGCCGTAACTTCGATGGGCCGGGCAGGTGCAGGTTCTTCGTGTCCAGTAGTACTAGTTGCCCAGCTGCCAAGACGAGTTCCCGTCGTAAAAGGTCGGTGTATTTGCGGGAAGTGGTATTCGCCTTGCGAATTGCGTCCGCAGCCTTCTCGCGAATTTCTTGGAGTTCTGTCACAAATGTTTGTGACCTCGGGACCGGGTTGTCAAGTGTAGTCGTTGTAGGTACCACCGGGTCCATCCCGTAATTCAAGAAGAACGGGGAGTGATTAGTCGTGCTGGACGGAGCGTTGTTGAACGCGAATTCCAGCATGGCGAGCGAATGTTCCCAGCGAGCGGGGTCGGGGCAGTTTGTCCTGATCAGCTGCTCCATCGTCTGATTGGTCCGCTCGGTCTGGCCGTCGGTTTGCGGGTGGTATGCCGACGAGAACTGTAGCTTCGTTCCGTACTGCGCCCACGTCTCCTTCCAAAATTTCGATGTGAACTTTGGGTCCCGGTCGCTGATGATCGCCGATGGGATGCCGTGTAGTCGCACAACGGTGGAGATGAAGAGGCGTGCAGTTTCTTCGGCGGTGATTGTCGTGCGACAAGGTGCGAAATGCGCCATTTTTGTGAGGCGATCGACGACGACGAGTACAGCGTCGTTGCCGGACGGCCCAGCTGGCAGCCCCGTGACAAAGTCCATCGTCACCTGTTGCCATGGTCGTTCGGGTGGCTCGAGAGGTTGCAGCAACCCAGCTGGCCGCTGACGTGTCGATTTCATGGCTTGGCACACCCTGCATGAGGACACATATCGCTGCACGTCGTTAGCAGAATCAGGCCAATAATACTGACGGTGCAACAACTTCTGGGTTTTATCAACCCCGAAATGTCCGGAGAGGTTGGAATCATGGACCTCCTGAATAAGGAGTTCGCGCAGCAGCCGGTAAGCGGGAACCCAAATCCGGTCAGTTCCGGCCTTTAGGTAATAATTCCCTTTCTGCGTCGTCGCCTGCTGGTGATTTCCAGTCGTGAAGAACGGGTCCGTAGTGTAGCCGTGGGTGAATAGCCCCGAAAGAAGCGGGTTCGAATGGGTGATCAGCACAGCAGCGGATTGGACTGTCGGTCGGGTCAGGGCGTCGGCAATGTTGTTCGCGCCCTTCTTGTAGGTGATCCTGTAGTGGAAGTGTGACTCCATGTAATCGAGCCACCGGATTTGTCGCGGGTTGAGGTTGGGCTGGGCTCGCAGGTACTGTAGGGACTTGTGGTCCGTGCGAATAGTGACGTCGGTGCCCGTCAAGTAGCAGCGCCACAGTTTAAACGCGTGAATGATGGCGAGCATCTCCTTGTCGTGAATCGGGTAGTTGCGCTCGGCTGCCTGCAATTTGCGTGACTCGTAGGCGATCGGTTGTAAGCCGTTGCCAAAATCCTGGAGCAGCACTGCGCCGATGGCAAAATATGAGGCGTCGGTGACAACTTTGAATGGCTTTGATGGATGGGTCGGCGATGCGAAGAACCGGAGGGGACACCAGTAACTGCTTCAACTCCTGAAAAGCCGCCTCAGCCTCCTCCCCCCACACGAAATTCCTATCCTTGTGCAGCAGGTCGGTCAGCGGGCCGGTTATCCCCGCCATATTCGGGATAAACCGCCGGACATAATTCACGAACCCCAGAAAACTTTGAAGTTCCGTGACATTAGTCGGGGCCTTCCACTCCTGGATGGTCCTAATTTTCTTCGGGTCGATTTTGATGCCGTCGCGTGAGATGACGTGCCCCAAAAACTCCAACTCTTGCTTAAAAAACTCGCACTTAGAGCCCTTGGTGATGAGGCGGTTCTCCTGCAACCGCTTAAACACTGCGTCGAGGTCGCGGAGGTGCTGCTCGCGTGTCCTGCTAAAAATCAGAATATCGTCCAAGTAGACGATAACACACTTGTCCAGCAGGTCGCGAAATACCCTGTTCATGGTGCGTTGGAATGTTGATGGCGCGTTCGTGAGGCCGAAAGGCATCACTGTGAACTCGTAGCTGCCGTAGCGGGTTCGGAAGGCGGTCTTGTGACAGTCGTCAGCGAAGACCCTGATCTGGTGGTAACCGCCGCGTAGGTCAATTTTCGAGAAGTAGCGAGCGCCGCGAAGTTGGTCGAGGAGGTCGTCGGTGCGTGGGATGGGATAGCGAGATTTTATGGTAACCCGGTTGAGCGCGCGATAGTCGATGCACATGCGAATGCCGCCGTCCTTCTTCGGTGTGAACAAGATCGGGGCAGCGAAGGGCGAAGTACTGGGTCGGATGAAGCCCTTCTCCAACAGTGACTCAAGTTGACTTCGAAGCTCCGCGAGTTCGGGCTGAGTCAACCGCCACTGAGTGCGAACAGTCGGATGCGCGCCAGGTTCCAGCTGGATTTTGTGGTCTTCGGGTCTCTCGGGTGGTAGGCCAGGTGGCAAATCGTCGGGGAAGATTGTCAGAAATAACTGAGCAGGAATGGAATGAACTAGCAGAGAGTTTGGTACAAGTAGGAAACCCTAACTTTGAGTACCCCCTAAGGTGTAACCCACTACAGCCTACATAATATAAACATGCAATGTTTGACACACCCCCATAGGCGCAGTGGGAGACAACCACAGGGTCACAAGACCAGTCAAAGTAAAGCAAAGTAAGCTCAGGGTGGATCTCAAGGATTCCACACAAATTCCGAGCACAAGCAAGCGGTCACAAGACCAGTTCACATGCAGGTTTATAACAAAGCAAGAGATACAGTGATCACAACCTAGCAAAAGTAAACAAGTAGGCATATATATATAGTGATCACAGTACAAGCAAGGTCAAGAGGTAAGTAAGTGAGGCCCAGTGGGTACAAGGCCTAGCAGAGTGCAAAAGCGCTGATGGTCACAAGGCTGAAGCGCCTTGGTGAACACATCAGCAGTGTTGGCCTCCGTGGCCACGTAACGCAGACAAAGCTGACCACGCTGCTGCAGCTCTCGAGCAAGGAAGTACCGCAGAGCGATGTGCTTCGTTCTGTGCTCCAGTCTGTGCTCCTCACACAAGGCAATGGCAGCCTTGTTGTCGACGTACAGCACTGGAGGAGAACGAGGCCGCTCTCCGAGGTCGGTCAGCAGGTAGGTCAGCCAGCGTAGCTCCTGAGCAGCCATGGCTGTGGCGTAGATCTCAGCCTCACAACTGGAGCTGAGAACAGAAGAAGAGCGAGTAGAACGCCAAGAAACTGAGCCAGAGCCAAGGCTGAAGGTGTAACCCTGGGACGACCGCTGAGTAGCCTGGTCGTCTGCCCAAGAAGCGTCTGAGTGCCCTGTGAGAACAACCCGGTCTCGCCCTCCAAGCACAAGCCCCATGCCCGACGTACTGCACAAGTAGCGCAACACCCTCTTAGCAGCATCCATGTGCTCCTTCCGGTGACGGCCAGGAGCGACATAGCGTGCAAGGATACTAAGAGGGTATGCAAGGTCAGGTCGAGTGCAGGTCATCAGGTACATGAGGCAGCCCACAAGCTCTGGATACGGGCCACTCGGCTCTACGGACTCATCCGAAGGCAGAGCTGAGAGCGAGTGACCGGTAGGCAGAGGAGTGGACTGAGGCGAGGAGTACGTGAAGCGGAAGCGCTGGAGAACCTGCTGCACCATGTGTGACTGAGTCAGGGTGATGGTGCGCCGTGCTCTGTCCCGGGTGATCCGCAAGCCAAGATAGCTCGTCAGCTCACCCAGGTCTGTGCACGTGTGTCTCCTCTGCAGCTCCGACTTCACGTGAGCGAGTGCCGCGGTGTCAGCAGTGGCAAAGACCAAGTCGTCGACGTACACGAGGATGTAGAACGGCGGCAGCGAGGTGTCGGTGCGTAGAAACAGCGACGGGTCAGCAGTAGAGGGAGCGAACCCAAGAGCCGCAAGTGTCGTCCTCAGTGTGTCGTGCCACTCACGTGGCGCCTGGCGGAGACCGTAGACCGGCCGCTGAAGCCTCCACTGGGTGCCAGGAGGAACTGACCCAGTGAAGCCAGGGGGGCGGCGCAGCCAGATCTCCTCGTGCAGGCTGCCCTGCAAGAAAGCAGTGCTGAAGTCAAGAGAGTGAAGCTCGTAGTCGCGCTGAGCGGCTATGTGTAGCAGCACCCGAAGAGTAGTCATCTTCGGGGTGGGGGAGAAGGTCTGAAAGAAGTCTACTCCCTCTCGCTGACTGAAGC